AATATATTATATGATTACATACTTCCTGGAGATTTTGTAAAATTGCTGTCACGGTGTAAGTCTTAATTAAGCTCTGCATGTTCTGCAAGTCAATATAGATTGCACAGTACTTTTCTCTATCAGCCACCTTACCATGCTTTATCAGCACAATTTACTGCCTATAGATCCACTGTATGGACAGTCTATAAAGTCCTCCCTCCTCATGCCCACACAGCTGCTAGAAAATGTGTTGCAAAGGGAGAAATTAAAGGTCCAAGCAAACAGGGATCTATAAACATATTATGTCCCGTTGTTAATGAAAATGTCATCAGCAGAAATCTCACAGCTCCACTGAGCGATGAACCAATTTCCCTGACTCTCTCTTAAACCACTCACATGTAAAAAGGCTGGAATTTCCCAGGATTACAGTAGAACCAATTCACCACCAAAAACAAAATGACCAAATTTTCCAAGCAATTACATTTGAAAGCCTCTTATCCCAGCTGTGAATGGATCATAATAAAAAGGAATTTGAGAGTATCGGTGGAGAGCTTCTCACGGAGGATGAATAATGACACATAAACATTTACTATGTATTTACCCGTCTCTGCTGACCACTGGCCTTCTTTGCTTTACCATAATAATCCACCCTTCTTCAGTGAGTTGTCATAAATTAAGATTTGTGTCTCTGAAGCCTGCATCAGTGGTTCATTGACCGTAACACTGACCATAATGCTGACCGTAGCTTCTCCTGAGGCAACAACACCATACGGTCATGGTCATGCCTGCGGGTCCCTGAATGTAGGAGTGCTTAACCTTTCATTTTAACAGTGGTATCCCTGAGAGATGTTTGTGCCTGTTTTGATGATACAAAGTCACACAGGAGGAAAAGATCAAATTAAGGTTTCCTAAGCATTACATTAAAAAGCAGGGGTTGTTGCTTACACTGTTTTGCCTGAGAGCAATGGTGGAATAGATATTATTCTGATCCCCAGTATAATATCTGATTTTACCAGCATGTAATAAAAGTGAAAATGAAATGGATTCTCCAAAGAGTGTCTGTTTATCATATCAGTTACATGCAATGGGCCCTTTTCACGTGACGTCGCACAACGGCCATTGTTCCTCCGATGGTTGTATCCTCGTTCCAACTGGTCAGCGTAATTATTGAGTTCATATCGTCTAAAGCAGTTGCCACAGACATTAATGGATGATGTTTAATGGTTTATGGGTATTTTTCACTGTGTTACTCTTCAGGCATCCCCTTCAAGAGTTGATTCAAACTACCTCAGCTCACACTGGAGAAATCGCTGGGATTCGGTGTTTTGAAAGATCTCGTTATGATTTTTCTGTCACCCTTATGGGAGAAACTGGCCAAATGTAAGCACTTTGATGGAGTGGCCCATACCTGCGGCGGCTGTGGCTCAGGAGGTAGAGCGGGTCGTTTCCTAACTGGAGGATTAGCGGTTCGATTCCCGGCTTGTCCAGTCAACATGTTGAGGTGTCCTTGAGCAAGACACTGAACCCCCAGTTGCTCCCGGTGATGTCACTGGTGTGTGAATGTTTGGGAGTGTGAATGGGTGAATGGCCAAATAGTGTGAAAGCGCTTTGAGTGTGCTGTAAAGCATAGAAAGGTGCTATACAAATATAAGACCATTTACCTGCATGATTGCACTGGAAGAGCAGGAACATAGGCAAATGAAAATGATGAAAGATGAGCAGGAACAAGGTTTGCAGGGCTGCACCGTAGGGGTCAAGCCTTGTTGACAGGTGGCATGCAGTCTGGTTTGAATTAATCTCGGACATTAACAGCGACCTGTTAATGTGACCTGTTTCACAGCTTGAAGAACCTTTGAATTGACTGATACCAGTTGGCATGGCAACCTCATGTGGCTTGAGGCTGTGTGGACATTTACATCTTAAAATCTAACCAAGAAAACTCAGACAGTGTGATGTGCAGGTAGTCAAATTCTGTGTCAGACACTACTGCATCCACAACTGCTTTGGTGACATTCACTTAACACAGCAGTTTCATACTGCACGCAAATGCATTACCAGCAAACACCTAGGCATCTTTTGTTTGCTAGTGCTCAGTGATGTCTATAGGGTTATGTCTGCGAGTTAGAATGAGTAAGCAACTGTGTCACTCTTCCCTTCTTACTCTGACATCATTTATCATACGCATTTAAAGGGGCTGAGGTGAAAGCAAAATTAGAGGAGAGAGAAACAGAAAAAGAGCTTTGAGGAAGAAACATGTTTAAATCCAAGAGGTCAGGGAGTATCACAAAATGTATAAAAGACCACAGATCCAGCAGTCATATTTGAGCAGCTTTCATAAGTGACAATGTATTTTAATAATAAAAGGTCTAAAAAGTCTCTCCCTTCTGATACTTGATGTTGTCTCTTAGTTAGCTGCCTTGTAGCAGATAGTCCTGTAGTCTCCAAAATAGCATGGGTAGTCATGATTCATGTAGGTCTATAAGGTTTTACAGCGTCTATCTATCATTATAGATCTTTCAGATGATTTACATTTTACCCGCTGCATAGTCTAAATTTTCAGTTTCATGGAGAGTCTATGTCTTTATTTCTGTGGACAGTCACACTATTGTAATGAACTGTATTTTAGTGTCTACAGTGTCTTAGTCTGGCATCATTCTTGGAAGATCCACTAGGGGGTGCAAGAGTGGAGAAAAAGACATGTGCTGCAGGAGATACTCCCTTTAACGAATTCCTACAGTAATCAAGTGATTTTAACCCACTGTGACAGAGATGAACAGTTGATGACTGTTTTTATTAAGAACCTTTAACATAGTGTCATTTATATGGAGTGTGAAGTATGAACTGTGTGGGACCCTGTCACCACATTGATGCAAAAATGTCATCACAGCTGTAGATTCTGGTGATGGTGATTCATACTGTAACTAGAATTAAGTTAATAGAAGGATACAATTTTTAGAATAATAGAATTGTTCTACTCAAAACTGAAGGACAGTGGTTATATTTGAAGCACTGTTGGAACAAGAACTGACCAAAAGAAACAATAAAGTGTTTGGGATGATGTATAGATGTGCCATAACCTTTGCTAGAGGATTTGTGTTACTGTGTTTACCTGGACAGTATTTGTCTGTAAAAGTCACTGGGTCAGATAATTGAGTAAAAAGAGACAGATGGTGGCAGCATTTACTGCTGATTACATCGAGGTCATAAACTGCATTTCAGTAGCTGGGGGTGTCAAGCCTATTAAACTGCCGGAGCCTGAATCTTAGAGGGATGCAGCTGGACTATCAGGAGATTGGAGGGGTTTAAACAGTTGGCCAACACTATGGGCTAAAACACCCAGGATACAGGCGCACAATGGGTGTCTTAACAGCTAGTTAACGGTTCACGTCTGTAACAGTGCGGGTGGTGTTTGTAACAAACTTCTACATCAGTACACATTGACATGGTCCTGAGAAATCACAGTGATGTTTTATATCTAACAGTATCCTTGATCTTCACATCACTAGAGCTGGAACACTGTCGCTGGGGACATAGCTGCTGTCATTTATGCAGAGTAAATTATTCCACACCAAAGGCCTTCAGGCTACAGCAAAGTTGCACAGAATGGCTCTATTTTCACAATGCAGGAAATAAAAGTAGTATATGCTGATGTAGGGTTGTGCATAGTGTCTTGTAACAACATGAGGACAAGAGAAACAATGCTCCTCTGCAAACCTGCTGGACAGTGCAAAATGTATCATTCTAACAAATGCTGAATCATCTAAGATTTATAACTTTATGGTAAGTCAAGAAGAGGAACATGGCAATATCCACATAGTCAAACTTCCTGGAAAAATGGTAAATGGTCTTATACAATGATTTTCCATGCAACAAAGCACGTTCAAAGTGCTTTACACTATTTCCCATTATCACACACATACACACTGTGTTTTCATTCCTTGTGGCGATTTTACATTGACTTCCATTCATGTCCTGTAGACTTATCCTAACCTTAACCATAACCACTACTTGCCTAACCCTGACCTTAACACCTAACCTTACCCTAACCTTAAACCATGTTGCCACCCTAAAATTCAGTGATTTCCTTGTAGGGGACCACAGGCTGGTCCCAACAAGGATGGCCGAGTCCCCACAATGTGAGCGTGTTAACATGTTTCAATCCCCATAATGTAAGTAATACACAGGCACACTGATGGCACAGCCACCAGGAGCAATACTGAAGAAACTGGGGTTCAAATCACAAACACTCTGGTTAGGATGCAACCCGCTCTACATCCCGAGCCACAACAATCCAAAAGAATATTTTCAAAATAAAACAAAGCATTTGAATCCACTGAAAATGTTCAGTAAAATTTTTAATTTTGTAGTTGATTCATATCTAGTTACTGGTTTACTTACTGTAGGTATACTGTGATATTTACTGAACTCATAGTAGAAAACTATAAATACAGATTAACTGAAGCATTAGCACTAATTGAATATATTGAGGTTTACTGCACGGCAATAACAGCTGATGTTAAATTTATATATGTGACTGACACAGTTCCATTCTACTTTGTATTCTGTTGCAGGGCCTGCTCATCATGCATTTACATTAGTCTGGTTTAATGGCTTCCCTAAGAATCACTGAGTATTTATTGATCATACTGATGCATTTTTCTACCAGCTCTGCAAGTCAGGCAGTCAATATCCCGGCCACTGGTCAATTTTCGCATTGTAGAGTAGTGATATCAACCAGTGTTTTTGTTATAATGATTGACAGCATATTTACTAATAGGTGTTTAGAGCAGAATGTGAGCGAATGATGTACAGCCTTGTGGCGGAGGTCAAAAAAGTCAGGCCTCCAGACTATAGTTTTATATTACGGTGTTATCAAACCAGGCAGGATTTGATCAAATGTAGACACTTTTTCAGCTTACACTTCTGCTTGGGTGGGTTTTCTTTTTGCTGGGTTGTTGTCAAATGTTAACATGAAAAGACCAACCTCCTCACAGCTGAAGTGTGACTGCTCTGCTTGACAGGCCTGTATTGAGGAGATGGATCCCCCTTGTTTTCAATTAGGACTGAACCCTGAGAGCCTGTGAGTGTTCCTCCAATTCAATTGCATCAAAGTCTTTGCTCATTTTTTCACTGAATTCTGACTCAACTCTGTTGACACCAATCATGTATCTCTGCTCCTCAGGCCAGTGGATGAAGGGGAGAACATGGCCTCCATCAGCATAATGAAGTACCACGGCTGCTCTAGATGCTGATAACCCCGAAATGAGAAGTGTTCACAGTTTCCTGTGTCTGACCTGCCCCTGCAGGTTTAATGCTCTCCCCCATGATCACAACCTTTCCATTCAAATCTCTCTTAGAAAGGTGCATTGGACACTAATGGAGACTGACTCTGCCCATTTTCTTTTTCTTCTTTCCTACAGCTACCGTACCATGCCTGTGTGCCAGTGGAGGGTGGAGAGGAGTGCTGTTCTCAAAGTCACCCCCTATTCATGATCCTCTGGCTCATCTGTGGATCAATTGCTGTGGCCATAGCTCTTCTTCTCTTCTCCCTTTCTCTTTCCCCAGATGCAGATTGGCCTCACATTAATACTGATTAGATTGTATGAAGGGAAGTGAGCAAACATCCAGGGGAGGCACTCCTGGTGAATAAATGTTTGTTCTTCTTGTTTGAATTGTAAGAAGTGCTTTCTCCTGATCTCATACAGTACATTTACAGTACTGTTACCCTATGTTTGCATCCATGCTTTTTCTCACACACTGTAAATATTATAATGCACAACAGGACAGATAATTGCATCAAAATAAAATGAAATTCAAACTTATTGAATATTATATTTAGATATATGTACTTGAACATGTGTACATTATTTGCTTTTCATCATCAAGATACACATCCCCTGTATGTTCCATGTTCTAGGGTTGGAGAGAAAGCCAGCGTGATATATACACACTAGCGGGGCTACTGTATGTGAGCAGAGCAGGGATTGGTCCAGAGTGCTGCCAGTCAAGCAGCAACTACTCTCCAACTTCCTTTGTCCTCCTTTCCTGATGCAGCCTGGAAGGAGGGAGGGGAATGGATCTTTTCCTCGTGAGTCGCCAGAGCTCCTTCAGCCTGTTTCTTACCACCTGTCCTTGTCTTACTGTGCATAGACGAGACTGAGGCTGCTGCTCACTCCTCCTCTTTCGGTTTGTGTTTGTATGAGCAGCTGCATTTTTTTTTTTACATTTTTCACTCTGTGTGGCTGTTTCTTTCTACCTTTGGTGCTTCAGTGGAGTGGTGAAGAGAGGAGTGTTTGTCGTCAGCCGGTGGAGTTCTGATGGGAGGCAGTGCTAGCTCTGGTTGGGACTGGGGATGCTGAACGGGGGGAGGGAGGGCCTATTTGAGCTGGGACAGCAGCTCCAGCAGCAGGGGGAGTATCGGGCCGCCCTCCACTGCTTCCTCAGCTGCCTGTTGGGACTGACCCATGTGCAGAGCTTCACCTCACTGCCCAACTGCCTACACCAGGTGAGCCAGATGAGGATGGGACACACACACACACACACACACACACACATATACACACGCCAAACAATGCACAAACTGTGTTGGTATGTACGGATACATACCAACATGTATGTACCTGTACATATTCATTATATGCATCCACAAAATCTGCTGTATTATATATTTGCACAACTGTATAGACACATTTGCATCACTCTCCTTTAAAGTATCATAAATTGTCACACACCACAGCACACAGGGCACATTCAACCTTGATATCTCTAACCCCAATGTCAAACCTAACAACGTGTGCGCCTGTGTTGACACTGATGTGTGCATGTTGTTAAGTGAGGTACTGGATGTAGACGGCTCACACTGTTAAAAATACTGTTGTATCCAGTTAATGTTTGTCCCATTGTTTGTGAGCTATGTTTTGTTATTTTGAGGTCACATGAATGTGTGTTTTGGCACAGTGTAATCAGGCCATAGTCTCAGCAGATTACATACTGGGATGCTTTCCAAGGCCCTCCTCCTACAGAAGCAGGGCTACAATTTAGATTTATTTTGAAAGCACTTGAGGGAATGTCCCTGATGCGAAAACAGTGCCTTTACTTCAGAACTTTGGAATGTGATGTTGACCAGACCAGTGGTGCCACAAGGAGAGCAGAATTACTGGTTTTTTAACAGCCCATGACATCATGCACACGAACACAAATGCGAATGATATTGGAAATGAGTTCTTTAATATAATATTGTTTTTCTTTACAGATTGGAGAACTCTTCATCACTGAAAAGAATTGTATCCTTTTCAAACTAAATACGGGAAAAATTCTCCCATCTAACATCTGACACTTTCTCTTTCACTGCTACTGTAACTATTATGCTAGTTTTCTATTTCTGTGAGGTGAGCATGTTAGGGATTGTCAGTGGAGGAAGGAATGGCAAACTGCAGCACAGTAGAGGATACAGAGCCTTAAATTCAAGAGGGATGAGTGGATGTCTTTGGGCCAGTTTATAATAACACACTTGTGCCAGAATTCCACCATTTTATGTGTCGCTCAGGCTGTGTGTCTGTCTCTTAAGAGGATTTGTAGGCTCTTATCTTTACACAACAGAGTGGCAGAGCACTAATTAACCTGTATCTGCACTGACTAGCTTGTGCATTACCACTTCACTGCTTCCATAAACTACAGCAGTATAGGACATGGAGATAATGGAGAGGTATTGTGTTTCAGGATATATTACCTCCATGGCTCCTCTCCCTGTTATTGAGACACTTCAACACTTAACTTGCTAGCTCAGGTTATCCACCTCAGCAAGGCTCTACCCCCTCACTGTCCATTTTCCAAAATAGGTTGATTTGCTGAGCTGAGCTTCATCAATAGTCATCAGACTTGGCCCCTGTCAGTACGAACAGGGTAGCTACTTAAGAGGGTCATCTACCATGACAGGGTTAAACTTTGACATACAGTACAACATACACTCACCGGTCAATTTATTAGGTACACCTGTACAGTTATATGCAATTCAATGCAACACTTCTGCCTTAACATCTGAGTTTATGAAGCTCAAAATGCTTCAGGTTTTGAAATTGTCATAAATATTTAAATTCAATTATATGTTTATTATTGAGGTCATAGTTAAAGGTGGTGTAGTACTGGAATACATTATATTCAGAGGTGTCTCTATATTTTTGTTCTCCCCGGCTACATACATAACAGGGTCAGAATATTAGAAACACCTCTGAATATAATGTAGTACAACACCACCTTTAACTATGATGGCAATAATCAACATATAATTGAATTTATATATTTTGAGCTTCATAAACACAGAAGTGTTGCATTGAATTTCATACAACTGTATGTGTAAGGTCATGTCAAACTGTGCCATTTTATATATGGTTACCATGTTATATTACTCTTTTATTGTGGCTTAAAAATTGAATGAATGTTGCATTCAAAGATGTTGTGGTCTTTGTGATGGTCCTCAAGGGTTGGAGATGAAGGGGCATTGTGCCCAAATTGGCAGCAGGATATGGAAACTTTGCGTTTTCTCAGACAAGAGATGTGGAGCTGCTTCCTCACATGTTGTCTCCGGGTCTAACCACATCCACTATTAGTAAACAAAGCTGAATTTCCATATGCAGACTTTGTTGAGGGGCAGCCCTCTCACCCGATGTCAGCTGGGATTGGCTCCAGCACCCCACCCGTGGCCGTGTTCAGGAATAAGTGGTGTAGATAATGGATGGAAACTATGTTGAGTTCGTTTTGGTGTCCTGACTTTATACCAGACAAATATATTGTATTACAGTAAGTGCAGCTGATAGTAATGTTGGCTGCTTAAGGCAGGTTGTATTGTTATCACAGCTGACAGTATGCACAGGTGACCTTGGTCCAACATGTTTGTTGAAAAGACCCCAACAAACTGACTTTAATCTCAAATAAAAGGGATGTCATAATAACATTGTGGCTATGTAGTACAAAAAGTAGTAACAGATAGACACAATTAGCTTGACTACATTATCTTATCAACCACATTTAGTCATATTTGTTATGATAATTCTCCAGGAAATCCCTGATTCATGCTGGCTGGAGTTGTTTCAGTGCACCACAGATGGAGTTATGTGGCACGTGTGATCAGATATGCCTTTGAAGGTGCCGGTGTTAGTCCAGGTTAATGTGTTTTGGAGTGCAGGCATGTGTGCGTGCATGTGTGTTTGTACTGTATATGTAGATAAGTAGAGCGGAGCCCAGTGCCTGAAGTGTGAGAAGTTCCTGTTGTGGCATAGCTGTGGTCCAGCCAGGCTAAAAATAGCAGGCAGCAGTCATGCTATGACCTTTGATGAAGGCCTAATCCTGCTTCCCAGATGATTCACCACATACTCACCATATATCCTGGTGCCATTTGAATCCCGGGAGCTGGGACGGGCATCATGTATTTCCATGTCATCTCTTACTGTATTGTACATTAAATTATTCAAATATACATCCTCTAATAGCTCTTCGTTAACCATTCCTCACCACCCATCTTCTTGTGTGTATCTTTTGCTCAGAAGCAAATGTTTTTGATGGTTGTTTTATCTCTTATTTTTCTGTATGATGACTGTCTTACTGGAAGACATGTTCTTGTTCTTTCAGTAGTATGCAGTGCTGACATTATTCTCCTGGTGACAAGATGAAGAAAATGAACTTTTATGACTTTCAGTTCCAGGTTGAACTGTTTTTTATAAATATTTTCATCCTCAATATAACAATTGTATTGTAGATATTTAGTTTTCTATGAGATATGTAATGGTAATGAAATACAGTACTTAGAATGTAATGTAGTATTTTTTACACATGAGAGATCTGGTGTTAAGTAGGACATTTAGACAGGGCTGTTCATTTTAAGCCTTCTCCATCCAGTCGGCCTTTTAAGTCACCTGACATGCATCAGTAGGATCACAGAATGCTTTTGACAAAGTGAGCGTGCTCTATTTTTAGGAAGCTTTAAATAGATAGTCTTTTCATGGAAACAAAAACGAGTAGCCAGTTCAATCGCAAGGCATCTGTATAAAACAAACACTAAAGCCAGACATTAAAAAAGGAATGTGATATGAGATATGCAGCTTAATCAGCTACAACTAAACTGTGAGATTCAGCAAACTTTTGTATCACATTTTGAAACAAAAACCACACAAAACCAGCAAATAGCAGCTCAAAAATGATGACACAGTCACCAGTAGTGATTCTGTATAGTAAATAAAACCCCTGATCTCAGGATCAACAATGTGCTGTGGATTACTACACATTCTGTTTCCTCATACGGGGTCATTCTCAGGAGGGTGACAAAAACAAAAACTGTGCTGAGCTGTGCTATGAGGCTGTTTTTAATTTCAACAGCTGACTAATCCTCTTGACAACTGAGACTGATCCTTCACCCATATAAACAGATGGCAAGGCCCTCCAGTTCATCCAGGCTGAAAAGATGTTTTACGAGGTGGCACTGATCGAACTCACGGCTCTTCAGGGGAGCACAGGCAAGAATATTTGACATTATGCTATGGATGAAAACCTCTAGGAATATAAGTGCGTATCTTTTGCATGTATAGTATGTATATCATGTCGTCTGTTGTGCTTTGACTTTGAATGTTTTATTTGTTTATTTATTTATTAGATGCTTTCCTCAGAGGTTTCCTGGAAAGATGTCATTTGGACCTACTTATAGCTGATTTAGAGACCTGTCCATTTTTGACACTTTCAATTGACTGATGTCAGTTAAATGATAACCTCAATTAACCTAGAATGTTTTTGTCAGTGCACTGCAGTTGGCTGAACAACTATGAAACTTGCCAGTCAAAAGGCAAGTATATAATTCACCATATATAAAGAAGCAAATTCTCAAAAATAAATAGATTTCTTTTGAAGGGAACTCATTTGGAAACCAACAACAGTTTGACTTCACCTAAACTAAGTTAGCATTCAGAACGTTGTCTCTCTTTGCCTATAATTGGTACCAAGTTACACAGCTCTTTCTTTGGGAACCTTTGAGATATTAGTAGGAAATTGTTAGAACATTTCCATCTTGACATTTGACACAAACAGCACCAGATATACTGATGCTGTTCAATGGCTGTTAGATTGTTTGCAGTAAGCAACTGTCTAAAGTTCATTTTCTACCGCTTAGTCCCTGAACGGGGTCACGGGGGGGCTGGAGCCAATCCCAGCCGGCACTCGGGCGAAGGCGGGGTACACCCTGGACAGGTCGCAAATCCATCGCAGGGCTAACACAGAGACGAACAACCACACACATGCACACGCACTCCTATGGGCAATTTAGAGACACCAATCAACCTAAGCTGCATGTCTTTGGACTGTGGGAGGAAGCCGGAGTACCCGGAGAGAACCCATGCAAGCACAGGGAGAACATGCAAACTCCACACAGAAAGGTCCCGATTTTTTTTTTTTTTTACCCCATAAGCCAATATGTGATCCCATTTTACTCAACTCCATCCTTGTTTACAGTATACCTGGTGGAGTTATAGGCGAGCTTTCACAGCTCATTCATCAACCACTGCTGCCCCTGTTCCAGACATCTGCCTCTTCCTCGCTGTCTGCTGCTGAGGCAGCAGTGCAGTGTAGCATGCAGGCACAGTGGAGGAGACCAGGGACAGACTTAGTAGAAGACGAATGGCCATACTTTGCAATATCTCATTAGCAGCTGTGTGCTGTTGTTGAATACTGAGACCCCTGATTCAGCACTTACGCAGACCGAATGCTGGACTTCTCCAGAGACAGAGATGCAGTGCATCTGCAGCTTCAAACTTTTCTTCCTCTCCCAGTGTCTTTTTTTTTTTTTTTTTTTTTACATGTACCTTTCTTTGAATTTCTCTCATAATTTTTTATCTAAACAAAAATCTGTTTGCACTTGCATATGACCTGTGTTACATGCCAAAGTCATGTAACACACTGTTGTAGGTGTGTGGCATGTGGTGTGTAGTGTATATTTGTGGTTTGTCACTGTGTGCATACAAGTGTCTCAGTGCTCCAGTGGGTGTGGTGAATGTGTTGTTTGACTTTTTTATCCACTCTCCCCTGCCCTTATCTCTGCTCTCTTTCCTCCACCTCACAGCTGACTCATTTCAGGCTTAAAGTTCACAGTAGTGCCAGACTGGCTGGGCTTTTTGCTTTATTATTATTACATATTATTGATTTATTCTAAAGTCTTTGCAGTGGTAAAGAATAAAGGATATCAAGGAGAGAGGGCCAGATAGGGAGAGTGAGCAGTTTTATTTTTTTTAGCGGGCCGTCTATGATTCCATGCCCTGTGTTTGTGTAGCAGGGCCTCAGGAGGAGGCTACACTGGGATCTGCGGGATGGACAACCCCAGAGGAGCTTTCAGAGCAAGCGTGCAAGGCTCAGCACCTGGAACGGCTGGCTCAGCTCTGCATCATGAGCAAACAGTAGGTAAAACCGTGTCCTGCTGTTGTTCTGTTGCGTAATTAACGGGCTGTTATGTGCTCTATGAGTGGAGGGGCTCAGAGGTCTCATCATGACAGAATTTATAGTTAACTATATTGTATCGCTTGCATTCAACCCTTCATTATTTCATGGAGCAGTAGTGAAAATGTTGCTGATTCAGGTGTAACAAAACAAACAACATATTTGCTTGTTATCAGTTTTACAACACAGGCAGAAGCTCAGGTCCTAATGGATAGATAAGTAGCTCCTTTGTTGACAAAGTAAAATCCTTACCTTAGCTTTTATACTCAAACTGAAATAATCTAGAGATAAATATTTCAGTGAAATGAATGATTCGACTTGTACGGTATTGTGTGACACAATTTTAAAATCAGCCTTTAAGCAGTTGATCAAATTTATCCTTGAATCTTTAATCTTTAAAATGGTCTTTTTTATTCAGGATTAGAAAGGTACAACTCCCAGATATAAATTCCATTTAAGCTGTACAACCTGACCTCATCTTTACTTTAGTTCAAATTTGGGTTTTGCATTATGTTTAAATGAGTTGGAACAACAGTCAGTAGTGCTGTAACGCTTTCACCCTGTATGGAAAAAAGGGAAACTTTTTGGTTATAGGCAACAAAAAAAATAAGGATATCCACTTGCAAAGCCACATGTTTGCCTTTCTGGAATGGAAAGTTTTAGAACGAGATCAACTCCAACTCCAAGTCTTCTCACCCAGAATTGAATTTCTCTGTAGATGTGAAGAAAAGAGACACCACACTCTGCGTGATTGTTTCAGGAGGAACACCTTAACTGGATCTGGTGTCTCCTGTTGCAAGGGTATTTTGTTAGGCCACCTATTTACTGTGTCTCTGTTGTCATTGTTGGGATTAGGCCATTTAACCCGATTGCCGGAGAGGGTGACAGAGGGTGGAAGGACTTCTTGGAGGAGAGCTGTTCACTGTGCTTCTGTAACACAAGTTGTTAAACTTAAATGAGATGATACTGATTGTGCACAACTGTATCCAGAGGCTTGGGTTTCTGGCTAAATAGGGCCAACCAGCAATGTGATTCTGCTTTTTGATCTTTTCCTTTAGACTTCAGAAGCATGCTCTTTTTAGACTGTAAAAGCTCTAAAGAATGTTGAACATAAAAACACAAACTGGCTTTAGTTTTTCTAAGTAGTTAAATAGTCTTAAAGCCCCAAAGCTATAACAGCTTCCATTATAATCCCCAGATTTTATTCTCCTCTAGGCCGGAAGTTGTAATACATCCTGAATCTTTCAGCAATGTCATAGGAAGTTCCCTTTGCCAGTGAAGGGCTTTTCTATCTTTGCCTATCAGATGTCCACTGAGAAGGACCTTCTAAAGCAGTGCAAACTGACACCTGGGCATTACTAATTGAAAGGAAGCATGGCTTTGGAACAGTGAAGCTGACATCTGTCACACAAAAGAGAGCTTGCTCTACATCTATAGGCACACATGAGGGTGTGAGGATGATAAATGTCCTTGGCTGGCTTTCCAGACCAGATATGAGTGAAGCATATGGCACGTCCTCAATGTTCCACATCATGTTAGCACTAAGCAGAAGAGTGGTGGAAAGGCACTAGCCAGTAAACCAACCTGTAAGCACCATGCCTGCTGTAATTCACCCAGCAGAACAGACAGGAATGGTCAGTGCTGGCAGGAATGTAAGTTTTCCATTTCCTCCACAAGGCACCTGAGCACCCACGGCCCTGTTACCAGTGCTGAATCACAGCACACGCATGTTTGGATTTGTCCTGCTGCTGTGCCAAGTACTGAAACTGATACACTCACCTGACAGTGCAATGCAAGCCACGACATTTGATTAGTCAGACATCATTATCATCTTTGGAAATGTATTTGTGTTTTCAAACAGAGAGCAAGAATGGGCAAGGCAGATATATTTTATCTGATAAATCAAACTCATTTATTTTTAAAAGACCATTTTTGTTTTCTGCAGCTATACAATATAACTGTGATGCCACAGGGGGAAAAATAGCAACGCATTTGATAAATGCTGCCATTTTTCTTTTCCTTCCCTTTCAGGCCGCACCTTGCTCTAGAATACAGTGGTAAGGTATGTACATTACATAATTCTCTTCATTTCCTTTGAGCAAATCAAACATTTTATGGCACTCTTGTGTAACCTTTATATTCTCACGTCTCTGCATCATTCAGGCTACAAAGATCCACCAGAGGGCCTTTGGTAATGACCACCCAATTACAGCCAGAAGCCTGGAGCTTATGGCCACTGTCTATGCTGAGATTGGCAAGACTGAATATTCAGGTAATGATTCACCTGGGATCAATGACCCAGCATGGTACAGCAAGCCATTCAGAAATACTGGTATGACATATGGGAAGACAACTCTATGCAGTTGAATTAGTGAGTGGAAAACAAACATGGGTGTTGGTTCAGAGACATCTCTCTCAGCAGTGTATAATTTAATACTGTTAACGCTGAGCCTGAAATATGATGGCGGTGACCTCACGGTCTCATGAGGCAGAACTGTGATGTTAATCTTAAGAACAAGAAAGCACACAGTACAATGTGGATGTGGATTCAAGCAGTAAAACCATGTCAGCCCATAAAAAAAATGTTAAATTAATAAACACTTGTAGTCATATTGGACACGAGGGGTTTTATGCAGAGAGTTTGACAGTTTGAGGGCACGGTTCTATTGCACAATATATGCGCTTCACTTGCATTAAGAGGAAAGAACGCTCACTGCCCAGCTCTAAAACTCTGCCTTTATTTGAAGACTGCTGTGGTATAAAAAGCAACGTGTAGAGACCAGTCTCATTGCTGAGTCAGCTGTCAGAGGCAGTGACACTGAACACAACAGGAGTGTAAGATGAACACCATTCTTTGTTGTTCACCTCAGATGGTCGTAAACAGGATTGGTAAAATGGTTAAGGGTCGGTGAGGGGTTGTAGTTGTTGATCAGAACACACAGTATCACAGTAGCAGTTTTACTGTGCACAGTGGAAATCTCTTTGACCCACAGATTCTTCAGCAGAGGGTTGTTTATAACTTGTCCCCAAGATACCCTTCACTGTAAACTGGGTTTGTCGCCTTCCCTCTGCTCAAAACTGTTTTCAAGTTGAATTAGTGTACATCAACAGTAGTTAAAGTGTCATGTGCTATGTAGTGGTATGTGGGAATAGTTAGTCATTTCTTAATTAATCACTTATAGTTCAAGGAATTACAGCTTTTCTTGGCCTTAGCTGGTCCAGCATATTTCTGTCTTATAAAAGTGAAAAAACATTTAAAGAATGTTTCTACTTAGCTTATCAACCTTATTAACATAAGGAACATGTTTATTTTATGTAAACACATGCATATATAGAAAGAGAGTGAGAGTGGGAGAGTGTTATTAATAAAAACAAAAATTATATAAAATTAAAAATGCAGAGTTTGTTTAAGTCCTGGGGGGTGAGCGAGACGTTTTTGACTTTGTATCACTGTAATATGATTACCTGGTACTGACAGAGTTAATACCGGCACTTCTCTCTGACTGATTTGCATATTTACCTTTGTTTGTTTGACTTCACCTCAGTGTCTGTCTTGAGAGCAGGCTGCACATTCTGGTGTGAAGTCGCACTAGTCATACGGTATGGCTATGGTTTTCTTACTAGACTCTCTGGGTCAGTGCGTCTCTGCACTGTCCAAACACATCGCCGCTGCGGAGTCTATCAGAGATACTGTTAACTGTCTTCACCATTCCCACTGGGAGAAACACTCAGATGTCCGCCACAGAAAGGACACCTACCACCAACTGGAGTTCGCACCAAAGCCTAAGGTAAAGAGAGCAGCCCCTGCGGGCATTCTCAACACTGTTACTTTGGATATAAGTGGCTATTTGTAAAAGATCCGTATCTTTGAAATTCCTTCAGTATACTCATCCTTAGCTGTATCTAATGTAGGTAACCAATGGCAAAGTTCCCACCTCGATTCTGAAGAGGCCAAGCCCCAACTACGGCTCAGACACAGACCCCAACCACAGAAGGAAAAGTGAGCGGAGGGTTCGATTCAGGGATCCAGAGACCACAGTTCATGGTGAGAGTAAATATTTTGCAGTAAGTTCAGCCTGCTCAGTCACTGTTGGTCAGATGGGTTTATATGGCCAAAGAGAACATGCTGCCCTCTGGTGCTTCAACATGTCCACCAAACTGAGTGAAATTACTTCTTGTCACCCATATTTTCTCGACCACTTCATGTCAGCTTTCAAACAGAATTAGAGGAACATACTGATACAGCATCTATATGAATTCAATTTCGATGGCGTGCAGAATTGTCCTATAGAAATATGTGATATTCCTGCTCGCAGCAGGCCCCTCAACCCATTGAGGTGCATGCCTTGCACTTAACAGTAAAGAGAAAAAGATGCATTAAAAACATCCCTAGACTGCATACTAAACTGTTGTCCTTTTAAAATAATGTAAATTTAAGAGCTGTCCAAACATGAGCAACTCTTCATAATTACTTCTGCATGCAAATAAGGCATCATGGATCATCCAGGGAAATAATAGAGGCTGTGAGGGCGCAGTAACTGGTCTGTAGCTGCTCTACTTCACAGACTTTGGCTCTTGTTGACTTATTGCCCTCTTTTCTGTCGGCTTCACAGACATTCCTTACTGTGACTGTTTAGGTGGTAAGTCTGTTTGGAAGTGTTCAGAATCACCATGTTAATCTGCATGAGAAAGTGACACCACTGCACTTTTTAATAGGAAGGAGCCCACTGGATATAATTGTATGTAAAAGAATCAAGGAATATAGTTTAAGTTAGTTAGATAAAACCTGTGGGTTAAGTTTCACCACTGATTTAACTCTGTTCACTGCCATGCAATATGGAGTTAATGCTTTTCCCTGCCACTCCCTTTATAACAATGTTTGAAAGAGAGAAAGCACAGAATGTGTGTGATAGGGCCTCTTGTCTTACTCTGTGTTTAAAGGAAGACATTTTGCATGTGCATGATTCAAATACTAATTTACAAATCAAAATTGTGAAAAACTGGCATTGTCTTTCAGCCTATGAGACGACACCATCCCGCCCCAACCTCGCTCTGTTCACTTGCCTCTTCCTGCTTATGTCATTCCTGGGCGTGGCAATGTACTGCATAGACCGCAGACGCCCACAGCGAGTGTGTGAAGAGCTGGAGGCCGCTTTGGCTGTCTACCTGCTGCATATGAAACAGCTGCTGTGGGGCTGCTGGATATGGCTGACTATGCAATGACTGACACCGACTCAGTGCAGACATGGATCCTCCTTTATGGTTTTTTTTTTTTTCAGGCCCCTCTATGTCCAATCTTTGAAGGTGTGCAGGCCTACAAACACCTCAGCCATTTGACAAGGCTCTGTACAGTGTCTGTGGTACTGAACCACTCTGACACCAAAAAAGGGAAAATGTGTAATCCCAGAGATATGTAGCTTACATGTCTTTATGTATATATGTACTGCAGTGACAGGCATGTCACTCATTATTTTAGCTACAAGGACATTTTGCATCTGCAGTGTTGATGTCACAAATAACACTCACATAATCACCACAAATATGATTTGTCAGTTCATGTCACAGTCTGGTGTGTGAGTGAATATGTCCATGGAATGCAAATATTTATTTTGCTACAGTACATGGTTTTAAATAACAGATATTACACACTGAATTTGTATATATGGTTCCATATACTAAGGACTATCACAATATTCAGCTTTGTATTTGCACATAAATGAATGTTAAGCAGTTTGGAAACAGCTTAGATTGGCACCGCACACATTCAAGAGGAGGAGGATGGAAGCACAAATGTGTAAACTTTGTGATTATGATTCATGAGGAAGAAAACAGGTCAAATGACTAACAGATGAAAAACACCTCATCCTTTACAGACTGGTCAGACAGTGGCTGACTATCAGTTAACTTTTAGTTCCACTGATGAGAGCATCTGCAGCACAATATTATCTATCATCAGAGAGTCTATACTCAAACTGAATGAATGCTAATGCTTTTGACAGTGTCACTCTTTATACATTATCTGCTTGACTCCCACAAAATAGCCTGTATCCTAAATATTTATTCTTCTATATTGTATATCTGCATCTACATAAATATCCAACTTTCAGTCATTTAAAAAAAAAATGTTTTTAACTTTTTGTGTCAAATTTCTATTTTAAAAGGGTAACATTCAGGTTTTAATTGTGATGTCAGATGCTCATCAGGCTTTGGACAAGTGTATCGATAGATGTGAGCTCAACACATATTTGCAACACATTAAAAGATAATAGTAATATAAGGATAAACTCCTTCCATGAAATTCATTACTGTTTTTGAGGCCAAACACAGAAATATAACAGATTCAGATACTGTATAGCCATGTACAGTACAGTATACATCCCTTTATCAGACGAAGAAAACATTTTAACAGCCAAACCACCACAAAAGTGGATTATAGGAATCAAAGGGCACAGTGATGCACATCCCACAAACCTCTCATCATGAGCAATAACACACATCACATACAGCAGCTTCTGCAAAACGTTCTTCTTTATATAACACATTTCTGGGAACTCAAAGGAATTTGGAGCTCTCACATTTGAATGTCAAAGCAATATAAGGCTTGTAAAGCCTGTACAGAAGAAAGAATTACTCTGGACTCTGTGCTGTCAAATGAAATTTTCATTAGCAATAAAACAATACCAAGTGAACTCATGTCCTGTATATGCACTCTTAGTTTAAAGAGCCCATGGCATGCTTTTCCCTGTTTTCTGAATTATCTACAATATTACAACAGTGAATTCTCATCTTAGACGTGATCTAAAGCTCAAAAAATGAGGTGAACCTATGTTCTAGTATTTCTGTGCAGAAGCAACTCAGTTTATACAAATTTCGCAAACTCTCGCTCACAAGACTTTTTTCTAACTAAAAGTATTACGTGATAATTTAAGGATTTCCTTGAATGGTCATAATCTCCAGACACTTGTGTGTTCATGTGGGCTTGCCTGACATCCACTAGAGCGATTGTAGAAGTGGTATTTTTCGTCTGCACCCAGTTTGGTGCATATTTTTAACTCCTCCTGACACACTGTGATCAGAGGATGTTGAGAAAAATACAGGGCCTGAGGTTACTGCATGTCTAGGAATGCTCCTGTACAGGGACTCGCTGTTTTACTTGACTGGGTCTAACCTACAAGCAGCTGGCCTGTGAGGACACTGGCGGTGGCTAGTGATCAGCTCATCAACACTGGATTCCTCCGGAGCACAGTACCTGTTTGTTTTGAGGCCAGTGTGTCCACTGCATGTGATGTGTTGGCAAGAAGATTCTAAGGACCCATGATGTTATTATCGGTGCTACACTGCCTGTATGTGGTCACCTGTAACGCAAGGGATTTGTGGGATTGGATTTACCAACCTTGGAGCTACATGAAAGGGAGGGACTTAATGGTAAGTTTAAAAAGAAACACTAGTTGGAGTTATGATGGGTGCAAAACTAATCTAGAGTTACCCAAGATTAAACATGAAATGGCTGGAAATGAACATGCCATGGGCTCTTTAAGAGCTACATTTCACAACTGTCCAAACAATTATGGTCACTTTGAAAGAAGTGCCTTTTTTGGAGGGCTTTCTTAGTTCCTACTGTTTTATGATTTCAATTAGTTTGAATAAAACTCTCATTGCCTATCAAAGTCAATCAGATGACTTGCTTTTTTCTGTAACCTCTGACAGTGAGTGAGTCATGTGAATGCAACAGGGAGAGAAATGCATGCAGGTACATTTGTGTGTCTATTCACAGTATACTGGTTTTATAGCATATAAAGAAGCCTGAGTTGCTATATGGCACAAAAGTTATAGGTTTTTTTTGTTTGTTTAGTTTTTTTCTCCTCGCACATTGCTAAAAGCATTTTTGGACTGGCTGCTTAATATATGAATGTTCTGAATTATAATAATTTTTATAAAACACAAACTGTTATTCACAGTATGAATACACAAAAAAACTCAATGTTTTTAAGTACTTTGCTGCAGCATGCAAAGAATTCTCAGGTGCAGTGTGCATCCTACCAGAAAAAAAGCCTATAGTAACACATTTATTGGGGTATAAAACAAAAGAACACCCCTTCTAAAAAAAACAAAAGACCATCTCATTAATTTGCCATGCACTAGTTCATCCATGCAAAAGCATCACAAAGACAACATTATCCTTTAACCTATCTGTCTAAGTCATTAATACTGCATTGCTAAATAGAAACTCATGAAGAAAACCAAAAAATTGGGTGTACAGTTGCATTAAGTAGTTTTAATACCATCAAAGCTTGGCTATAGGTGGGTGTCTCAAAGAAGAATGCACACAGTGGAAGGATAAACTCAATACTGCTAAACATTCCATATGGTTAAATTCAAAGTCAGGGGGAGAAAAAGCCAATTGGTTCTGATTGTCTACATAGGCAAACATTGGTGTTTCTCATGGCAGGCGAGAGGACTGGTTGAGGGTGAGTGAGCGTGTGTTTGTGCGTCTTCCAGTTTCTAAATCAGACCTGTCTTGAGGTCAGAGCTTCGGCGGGAGGAGCGACTGAGCAGCAGGTCCTTCTCGTGGATCAGGCTGTCCAGCAGGTCCTCTTGTCTGTAGTTGTGGTAGACCTTCAGGAAGGCCATCACTGCGATCCCAAGCCAGGTAAGCCAGGCAGCCCACAGGCCAAACTGAAACAGGGAAATCACTGTAAATATGGCTGAAATTCAGGATGTGATTAGAGTGTCTAGATCATACAAGCAAAAAAAAAAAAAAAAAAAAAAAAAACCTACCTGAGCTATAGCAAACTGGTCATAAAAGGCAGCGTTGTCTAGGCCAAGTTCTAGATCAATGTCCTGCATGTCCTCACAGCTAAAAGATGACATACACAAAAGAGACATTTGTGAGGAGCACTATACTGTATAATGAAAATCTTTAAAGTGCAGTTTCTGCGTTGCTCTCTCACCTGCTGGGCATGGTCCCACCTTCAGTGATGGCGTCACACCAGAGGTTGAAACCCACACTTACAATGGTGCTGGACAGGAACACTGTGAACACCACCAGGGAGCTGATCAGCAGGTTGAGGAAAGCATTGAAGATGGAGCTGCAGACAAAGGGGGAAATATAAGGTTGAAACACAGCACTATGACCCACCATGATTTAGCTTTTCTTTTTTTTTTTTGAGGTACACATTAAACTACTGATGCCGGCTGAAGTGAAAAATACAGTATGTGAAGTGTATTCCCTCCATCTTTGCCTTTGAGGACGACAATGACTGGTCGTTTAAATATGTTTTATTCTGATTAATTTGTGTTATCTCATAGCCTACCTAGTACAGTAAATACCGGCTATGATTCTGTCAGAATAGCGCGCAGACAAGGGCGTGGGAGACGGACAGAAAGACACATTTACACTGAGCTGATGGTACAGGATGTCCTATTGAGCTTTTCGTGGTGCTGGTATTGAACTGTGTCGAACGAGCACAAGCGAACGGTCACTCACTCGTCGTGTCCTTTGCACAGAAAGAACAGTAGCCTCCATGCCTGCACTGCGGACAGGATGAGGGACGCTATCCCGACAAAAGTGATGAAGCTGCAGGAAGACTCGGGTCCCCACTCCTCCACGATGAAGCGCTGCTTCGACACAGTGATGTTCTCATTTTGCCACATACCCCGCGTAAACAGCAGGCATTTCCCTCCGAAGTCCTCCGTGTTTTCAGACAGAGGCACCACGGCGATGAAACCGAATACGAAGGCTAAAAAATAAAGAATGCACTGGGCAAAAATTAAATTATCGAGGGCCATTTTTCTGTCTCCCTCTTCTGCGCTCTGCGTCCTGGAGAAGCTGCGGCTGCGCAGTGGAGGCAGTGATGAGCGGAGGCACAGCATCCGACAACGTGCTCTTCTGCAGATTCATGAGCAGCCTGAGGCCTGCGGGGCTCTACATCGTTTCTTCAGTCACTATGAAGATATTCTCCTTCACCAGAGTTCCTATTTGCAAAAGCTCAAGTAGGCTAGTGGAGAGTAAATTGTAACATTTAACCCCTTAACATACAGTTTTCCACCATCTTGTTTCACACAGTTTGACACCTGTAATTTATTCTATCACTGTATTTCAGCTATTTACTGAAGCTACATGATTATTAAAATATATATTTTAAATCAAACTTTTAACATCATGTTTTTTATGACTGCACTATTTATTCCATTAAATGGAAATACTGCAGATGTTTTGTGTAACTTTTATTTCATAAAAATTAAGCCTGGCATATTTGCTGTTTGTGATTGTTTGTGATTTCCAGTAGAATTTAAGTTCTATATATTCGAACAGGGTTTGACTGAATTTACATGGACTGATGTTTAAGAAGTTAATGAAACTGGAAGAACACAGTACTATTTGTAAATATGTTATTAAAAGAAAGTTTTTATATTGTAAATTGGAAACTGTAGGTGCAGCTCTTCTTAGCTTGTTGGGTTCAGTGCAGTCACATAATTGCACACACACATACTTTATACATGCACAACGCAGCACACTCTCACAAATTAGAGTAATGGTTTGCTTATACATAGTGACAGTCGTTAAGCAAGGACAGGTAGCTGTCACAGCCATCAGACATGCTTCACTGAGCCCATCTGGTGAGCCAGCCAAGGTGTCTTTCCTGGCCACTCAGCCCCACTGCTGCTCGCAGTGCCCTCCGGTGGGCAAGGCACCTGCTGCCAACACCAACCTACTGCATGGTCTATTTGTCCCACTTGAAGTATATTCATTGCTTTGATGTCCAACCTAAGGATTAAAAGATACTCTGTTAATGACTTTAAAAAAACTGGTTAGAAAATGCAAAAATCTTCAAATTTTGTATGGTCACTGAATACAAAGGAGAACCAGCAACATGAGCAGCTTCTTTAAAAGGCTCACATTGAGTCATTTTACTTCAGGAGATATTAATAATCCTGCTGTTTCTTAGTAAATATCCCACACAGACATCCCTGGGCTATTTGTATCCATCATAGGAAGTGCTGCATTTTGCACAGTTTTCCTGGCACATGATTTATGTTTCATTTTGCTGCACCACAGCACTCTGATTTTCATGATGCTATCAGCTCTCAGATTAGCTTGAGTTATTGTGTATGTGTGTGTGGTCTTGACCTGAAAATTGATCTCATTCCAGTGTTCTGAGCCAGCTTTGTTTTAGCATCATTAGGTATTACTTATGTGTTATGTTCCTTCAGGATGCCATGGCAGCTTTTTATTGTTGGATGTATGATAAATTGTCCATATAACTATTCCCTATAATAAATCACTATGCGGTTTTTGTTATGATAAATTATTGCTGGGGCATTGTATTGCTTCTGATATATTTTCTCATTTTCCTAAAAGAGAAATCAAACCACAGAACAGGAAAGATCTAGAAATGAGTAGGGAATCTAAACTATGCTGATGCTGATCCTGAGACATTATTTGGTTTCAAAGGCCACACATGCAAGGTTACAGGGACAAATAGGAGATTACATGCACATCCACACACAGCAAGAAGTCTGAACCTCACTTTTAAATAATACAGCGTGTGTAGGCTTGTGAACTGGCCACCCAAGGTAGACCCAGGGCCGAAGTGTGTCAAGCTGAAATATGTGTTAAGTTATTCAGCCTCAGAGCAAGCCACAGAGGGAGGGAGGAGAAGGATGCTAACCCAAATGCAGTCCCTGGCGTCTGTGCAAATGTGGACAGCGGAAAGCACTGGGAGGTCATTCATTTTTCATGAGCTGCAATGGCAGCAAAGCAAACACCCTTTTCCAAGAAGTCAATGAAGAATCTAAAGTGCAGAATCATTTTCAAGGACAGTCCATTTTAAATGTAACGCATTTATGCTACAAACTGAGCTTCTCCTAATGCTGACCAAATGATAAAAACATAGGACGTAACCCCCCCCCCCACCAAAGTTTAGTTTCACTGATGACTTAGTTGGCAAAATATTTAATAATTTAGGTTTCATCAATAATTCCTGAAAGATTTATTATTGAGTAGTCTTTCAAACACATGTGAAAAGAAGGGTGTGGCAGGACTGTATCACTGAATGGGAAAGGTTGCTGTCAGAGGAATCTGACCAGTTGCTTCACAAGAAAATGAGTTGAATCTTGTCAAGGTGAAAAGTCTTTCTGCTCATCAAACCTGTAAATTGATCACTTGGTTCGTTGTGAGATGATTTGGTCCCCATAGTATCGCTTTGTGTCAGTTAATTAAATCCAGATTGTGGATTAAAACTTGGCGTCTCGATAGAAAAATATATATCTCATTTAGTTCAGCTCTCCGTGATTTTGTGAAAAACAGTCTTCATGCTCTCTTCACTAGTCTTTCTTTCTCCCACGTCCCTGAGCTACTCCAACCTGTGGGCTTGTCTTTGTCTGCCTGCGACACAAAACAACAGCAAAAACAGACACAATTACGGCCTCATATCCTGGGTAGTGATGTGAAGGCCCCCATGAAATATCCTGTACTCATTAATCTTTCCCCAGGGGGTGTAGGAGACTGGGAACACTGGGCCAGCCACTGATTAAATGCTCCTAATAGAGGCCATTCATCTCCCCTTGAATCTTGAATGTTTCAACATGCAACATAACCCAACACTACTGCTCCCCACCTCTCTCTGTATGCAAATATTGGTATTTTTTAAACAGACACCAAATATCTCATTTTGTGGGGTATGATCTCTTAGTGAGCTTCTACGACGTGATCAATGACTTTGTTTTCACCACACTGTGAATATCTCATTTATAACTGTGCCATCATAAACAGTCATGCATGAGATCATATGGGATGACATCAAAGTTTATAGTTTGCACTAATAAGTATGTTTAATATCCTGGTTTTATTATAATTCTGGTACTAAATAGATGACTGTGTGACCAGCCTGAGGGTTTGCCTTTAACTCATTTTCACACATTGATATCTCTCTATCTGCCAATTAAATGAATCCTACGCAGTATCATTTCTGGTCTGGATGAACAACTAGATAACACTAACAGCACTTCTCACAAACCAAACCCCTGGAAATGCACACTCACACTGAGACTGCTAGGTGATGAATGTAATGCCATCACTACAAACATGCACTGTACAACCACAATGCATTAGCTTCAAAAAACACACTGTTTGCGCAGTATAGACTACTCAGATCCAACACATAATCATCATAAATTAACATGGCCTAATTAGGTTTAACCTGCCAAGCTCCATATGGTCCCCAATTCTGAACAAAATAATTAGTGGCTGCATCCCAATTAAGCAATTATCCAGTGAAACCTCAGTAAAACAATTAACATGTCATATCCTGGCAATGATATTACAATGCTTAGCAGTGTAATGTTCAGGACAACAAGAAGAACGCAATATAAATAGGTGACCACATCATTGTCAGATACTCAGTTTCTGACAAATAAATAATAGCTACATCGTGTGGTTTTTCATGACTCTGTACTTCAGGTTACAGTATCCTCTGAAATACTGTTTTCATATTTGGAACATGACATCATAGTAGATGGAGATCTTAAAAGCAATGATGTTTATGCTGGAGGACAGGAGCAAGAGGGATGAAGGGAAGTAAAGAGGGGACCTGCTGGGTTGTGATGATGCAAAGTCCTCAGAGACCAAATATGAGAACATTGATGTCAGAGATGCTGTCAAGCTTCTTAACTGGAACAATAGTGACCCCTACTGACTGCTCTGGCATGTATTACCTTACAGCATGACGAATACACCACAGCCTAAGTGTTCAGTACATATGATGAATGGGAAATACCTGTTTCTCATCTCTATTGGCTCCTATGTGCTTTGCAGTGAAGTCAATCAAGTTGACCAGACTGTAGGAATATGGAATATTAATAACAGAGGACCTCTTATTACCTGCGAATGAATAGAAGCAAAACCATAAATTAGAAAGTGTTAATATTGTCTGCATTGATTTAAACCAAAATGTCATGAGTTGTGATCCATAACTGGAAACACTGTGGGAAACAGCTTAATTGACACTGTTCTTTTAGTTTCTATGCAATACTGCTATATGTTATTAACCCTTTAACCCTTGTCCCAGTGGCAAGGTTGGGGCATCAGTGAGGGACAATCACATTTAGGTCCCTGAGGCCCAGTGGTGATCAGCATAATCAGGCAGATGGAGGGAGGTCTGCTTAGAGTGGTAAACAGTACAACCCCACCCCTCAATTAAAAGCATAGGGTTTAATAGATGACTCACTGCTGCAACAAGATTAAGGGAACTAATTACTGACATGTCCCTTTCTTCCCAGTCTCCCTCTCCTAGCAGCTAAGACAACCCGAAAGCGCTGGTGAAGGTCAGTCAGCAGGTTCTGAGTTGTTTCAAACAGGGCATAGAAGAGGTCTCAGGTGAAGCATCCAGTGGCTTCCTCTTGCTGATGCTCACATGCTTTCTGAGCACATACAGTGTAAAATGTTGAATGTGAAGAGCCTCATTTTGGCAAACAGATAACATGATAATCAAGCTAAAGAGATCATGCTTATACCAGATGAAGCTCCTCTTCGGGACAAGAGCCAGATGTGACTGCCTCTCTAAAACTAAAAATCAAAGGAGGGATGCTGTTTGGTCTTCTTGTGACAACACAGCACTCTACAGGTCAGCGACATTTCTCCAGACACTTATCTAGATTAGACCATTTTCTATGCAGATTAGAGTTTATTCTGTGACATGTAAACTATTTAGTTGACTACACTTTACCATTATTACCTAAATGTAGCCTCATACCAAAATCAGACGAGAGAAAATGGTGACTCTCCACCTGGGGCTGACAGAGGGAGGGCACTGATTGACTCACTTCATTACTGTAGACGTGAGGGGGACAATTCATCCTTAAACCAGAGAAAACCAACATCACTCTCTTAT